TAATTTATTTGTCGATACAATGAAATTAGTTACTTACATCTTGATCCTTGCCCTTATTTTTGAAATTCTGCAGGCGATTCACATTCGGTTCCAGCGATGTCATTTTTTTATATTATTTTATTATTTTTTCCTCTGTTAAATAGCTTCTCACTTTCCTTTCTTTCTTAGATTACAACGATATCTATCGCTGTTGTACGTCTTAGTGATTCAGCTTTTCTTTACTTTGTCTTATATCTCTCTGTAGAAATTTAGTAATGAAGTAATTTTTCTGAAATAAATTTTCAGTACCACATTAAGCAAAAGAAAATGTAGACAGCAATCGTCAGACGTTCAGCGAGTAGCGATAAACGAATTGCAGACATACGAGTTTTTGGCAAAAAATCACAAAGGTTTACACACAATATGCAGAAACACCAGCACGTTGAGATGAATTCGTGGGATTCGGAAATTCGGAAACACGAGTTGTAGCCGAAGTGATGATGACGAACCAATGATTTCAATGACGAAGGGCGAAGACAAAGGAAAACCACCGAGAAATAAGCAAGATACGAAAATTAGCACAAAATTGTGGAACTTTCTTACACTATAACCTCTTACTTTTTTAGTGATTTGCAATCGAAATACTTTGCTCGTTTATTTTCTGACCACTTTTATGTGATTTTTCAAATTTTTACTTTTTTCTAAAATAGTTAAAATATATAAAATGTCACGACCGTCCTCAAAGAGGTTTAAAAAATCTTTTCATAACTCGATGTAAAGGAACGAAAAATTAAAACACCAACGAGTAATCAACTAGCAACGAATAGCATATCCGGTGTGTTGCCTCTTTCATTACCTACTTTGTACTGTGATGCCATATTTACAAAATTATTCAACACACCCGTCATTAAACTTATTTAAATTTTTTTTATTCCGAAGTCGAAACTTTTTTCTACACACAGTAGAATAAATGTAAATTGTATAACTCAGATATAACTAGTGTACAAGAAACAGTAACATATAACAGTAAGGTAAGGGAGATTAAAAAAAATAGAGAAATGTCATGCACACATTTCGGCAGTGATAAGGAATAATATTTTTTTTTTTTTTAATAAGTCAATAAAGTTTTTAGGATAAAGTGTGCTGTATGAAATCATTAGTATAGTAGTTATTCAAATAATTGCACTAAGTGTTGCAAAAATTAAGAAGAGTTTCAAATTAGTACCCTTATATAATATAGATAATTGGCAACTCTCTAACATCTAGTTGACAGCACTTTTTGACATTTCGTTATAGTAATGGTGTTTTAGAGTTTATGTTCTGCGAAAAAATTGGAATTACCAATAGAATTAATTTTAAAATTAAAATGTGTAAGAATTCAAATGTAAAAATAAGTGTATAAGTAGTATATTTTTAGTGCATCAATATGTCTGAAGAACAGAATGTGCCAGATAAGCCTATAGACATCCCTTTGACTGTGCCTCAAATTAAAGTTAAGCAAGAAAAATTCGATCCGGAGGTGGAAGCGAAAATTAATGCAATCTCCATAGCTAATGTTATAATAAAGCGTGAATTTGAAAAAGAAAACAATAGTTTGAAGTCAAATAATGAAGAAGATAAATTCAGCAAAACCGATGCTGATGAGAATGAAGATGGTGATGAGAGTGGTGATGATGGTGACAGTAGCGTAGACGATAGTGATTCTGGTAATAACAACATAATTAATAGACACGATGCAAATGGAAAAGAAACTAGTGTGGATGAAGATAAAAAATCTATTACACCGGTAAAATCATCCAATGAAATACTCGCTGAGCTCTTCCAAGTGTTCAATGCAGCGCCTCCTGAGGAATTGTTGGATGATAAAAGTCTACTTAAGAAAAGTCATAAGCATAAAAAACACAAAAAAGAAAAGAAGAAAAAAATTAAGCGTGAAAAAGATGTTCTGACAGGAAAAGGGAGTTGTAGTGACAGTGCTGAGTCCAACCTTCCTGACCATGATAAAGAAAAAAAATATAAACACAAACATAAGAAGAAAAAGAAACAAAAACACAAAGATTCAAAGGATGAGGCACGGGATAAAATTAATGATAAAGGTAAGAAGGATAAAGAAAAGTCTAAAGAAAGGCAAAAAAGCAAAGAGAAGTTTATTGATGCAGCAAAAGACATTTCAAAGCCATCTTCACCGAAGAACTCTAAACCTAACCCAAAACATGTACATCAACAGGATAGTCGATTATATAAAAGACAATCCGATACACTTGGTATTGGTGCAACAAATGCCAAAAAAGTTCGTACAGAAAATGACCCCAGTCATTCGAGAGATAAAGGTGAAGAAATTGAAAAATACAGGGAGAGAGATCGGAATAAAGACACAAGTAGGGTACAAATGCTTGAGAAAGATAGAGAAAAGAATAAAATAAAAGACCGGAAACATAACAGTTTTTATAATGGTTTTGCGGAGTATGAGTCCAACTCTAAAACAGTTTATATCAAAAAAGAACCAAACGAATCAACTATCAAGCAAGACACACATGATGGCCACATTTCAGAAATATCTCTCTCTGACGAAGAGGAGGATTATCTTAAAGATCGTCATGTCAGCGATGACCCAAAGAATCGTCGATTTGGGCATGATTACTCAAATGAACGATCCTCAAATAATTTCTACGCGGGAATAAAACGAAGTCGGAGCCGAGATCGAGATAGAAATCGAAACCGTGATCGTGAACGAGAGCGCGATAGAAACTACCGTGGAGACGGACGAAGCCATAGCAAGCGGCGAAGCCGCAGCCGTGGTCGTTCGCGCTCCCGTTCACGTGATTTAGGTATCGACAAGAAGAGACTACTCGAAATAGCACGTAAAAACGCCATCAGCATGTTCAAACGCGGAAACTTGCCCGGCTGTGACAGTATGTCACAGGAAGTCAAGGACAAAGTGTTGTTAAAAATGCGATACGGTGGAAAGACTGTGCAGGATCTTACAGATTTTTGTAAGAAGATTTCAAACGGTGAAAATCTGTCAGATCTCAGCTCCGACGAAGATTCCGACGTTGATAAGAGTGGTAACACGAAAGCATTTCACCATCCCTTCCAGCTAAAAGAACGCGAACCGATAGTAATGCACATACGCAATGCCACTACTTTGCCATTGCGGCCCACTTCAAACGACGCTGTAAAAGCCATAACGATGCAATTCCCAGTTTCGTCTGGCCAACAGCATCGCATGACTGAAGCATGGGTTCCCGTGGTACAGAAAGATAATATACCACCATTGCCGAATTTGCCTGCAGTCACACAATCAACCACCATATTTAAAACAGGCGTCGTTAAGAACGTATTTGAAAAAGCCGTCCCTGAAGAACAACAAGAACCCGCCTTCAAATCAGTGCAACAACCATTTGTAAATAGTAATGAAGAAAGTAATTGTGTGGTGCCAAATACAGTTGATAAAAGCGCGACTCCAACAACAATCCCAAATATACCCACAAAAATACAAATACCAACGCAAGCGCCTCTTGTTAAACCCATCGCAGATGCACCAATCGGTGTAAAACCATTCTATTCAGTGCCGCCTCCAGCTGTGACTGCTGTGCTTTCTGCACCTATCACAATCTGTCCGCCAATACAGCCAACTGCGTTGCCGCCGGCTTCTTTACCACCTCCACCTATTCAACAGAAATTTGTTCCAGATGTGCCAGTTCCATCTAGTTCAGATATGCCTGTCGGTACTGCAAAAGTGTTTCCCGAACTCTCGGGACCACAACTAGACGTGTCCAGTATTATATCTAAACGCTTACAAGCAATGAGACGATTACAGGTAAAATTCGCATATATGTATGTATAAGTGATGTGTTTTAAAAAATTTGCAAACATTTGTTGTAAATATATAAACTAAAATATATAATTTGCCAGGAAAATCCTATGGACCCTGAAGCTATTAAAATGATGTACAACTCACAAAAGGACATGTCTTCATGGGCGTCATCAAAACATTTACCAGGCCAATTCAGTACCGGCGCCAATATACTTTCGATGCGCGAATTGAATTCGGGGCCACAAGCGTGGGCGCGACGTGATCAGTTAATAACATCGCGTCCAGTGAGTGGAGGTATGGGCATGCAGTTACTACAAAAAATGGGTTGGAAACCTGGTGAGGGACTGGGGCGTGATAAATCTGGGTCCTTGCAACCATTACTTCTTGACGTGAAGTTAGACAAACATGGACTAGTTGCACGCGACGATAATAACGGCTACAAACAAAAACCGTGTAAAAAACAACGAGCACAAAATAATATACAACAACCGCAACAAGAGTTATTAGAAAAACACCCAGTTTGTCTGCTAAACGAGTTGACATCCAAACGCAAGTGGACGCCACCATTGTATACGCTTGTTAACGAAGCCGGACCTTCGCATAGTAGAATGTTTTTATTCTCAGTATCAATAAATGGGCACACATATACACCGACTCAGGGTTCAAATACGAAAAAGGAAGCAAAATTGATTTCAGCACGCCATTGTCTACAACAAATGGGAATCTTACCAATGTAGTTTATCAACTTGCTCTAAGCATTGAATCATTGAAAATGTAATTTCTATTTCAGACTTTACTTAATATCAATTCCATTACTATAAATATAAAATTCTGTAAAAAGTGAACACAAATAACATTAAACTAGAAATTAATAAATTGAAAATATGTAAATAAATTTGTTTATATTATGAATTCTATAAATACCTTAAAGCCTTCCCCCAATACAGAGTTGCAAATTATGTTTAAACTTTTTTTATTTTGTAATCCAGAAAATCTTAATACATAATAGCGGATAAAAAATAAAATTTTCATCTCATGCATATAATTAAGAACTAAAAATAAATTATTTTAGAATAAAAATTTTTTCGCGTTCCGAAAAAAAAATTTTTTTTTTTGTAATTTCTAAACGTCATGGATTATTTCCGTTAATTTAAAATTTGATTTTAAATTTATAAAAAAAATTAAGTTTATATGCTCGAATAAAATTTGCAACCCCGCCTCAACATAACACGAAAGCAGCCGAGTTGACATTTCTTGGTTGGATTACGAGATGAATCGACTGTCCTCGGGGCAACCACAAGTACTGTTAACTAAAGCAATTCTTATTATCATTAAAGCCTTGTTTCTTGATTTAGGTTCAATTTTAGATTTCGGGTTTGATCCCTGTTACACAATTTCTTTCATTTTCTTCGAACTGGCAGTAAAAAAGGAAGGTTTCAAAATTAATTTTTTATTTATATTTGATAACTTATTAGCGTTATAATTGTCGGAAGTCAGTTTGGATTTTGTTCATATTCGAAAATAATCACGAATATCATTTGATTTTTTGGCTAAAGTGAAGTTCAAAAGTTCCTCCCAAGATATTTCCATCCTTTTGCAGCTACACAATGTGTTTGTAAACAAGAGGCCTCATTCTACAAAACGAAGGTGTGCAAGGGGGACGATTTGACCGCTTCAAATGTTTGTTTAGTTAATCGGCAGTTTTCCTTTGCTCTCATATGCTTTATTATTGTTTTTGTTGTTTTGTTTTTTGCGAAGAAATACAAAATAGAGACAGTACGCATACACATACACAAGTTAAACACATTGAAGGTCGACGACTGCATGTGCGCCTGTAAATATGCTTCGATAAATCCACAACAACTCGCTGTGAACGATGAGATGGCGAACCACCATGCTGAAAGCACGCCACATGGCCAACCAAGGTGGCGGGGGATGAGATTTTTGTTCACAGATTTCCTCCCACAGGATTTGTGCTGCGCCCGAGTATAGATACAAATGGACGAGAGTTGTAAAGATGCGAAAATTCGCTGGAGCAAATAGTAAAAATAACAGAAAGAACAGTGTGCTTTTGGAAGCGCGAGTGGCAGCAATGAAAATTTTGCAGACGTCTTGTGCAATATTCTATTTTGCGAAAAATGTGTGCTAAATAAATAAATGAAAAAAATGATAATTAATCTTTAGGTTTGTCGTTCGTAAAGGTATTAAATTATAGTGGAATTTAATTTGATAAATTTCATGCTTAGAGTGTTGGGGATAGCAATAGTACAAATGCCCCGACAGGTGAACATTTTGGTTGTGGCAAAATTGATGACGAAAATGCAAATGTGTGCTTAGTGCTTTTGCGGTCAACAAGCTGAAATAATAGGGTGTAACCACAGCGTCATTGCATCGTGAATAACGGCGAGGAATAGTGTGTATTTATGTTGCTGCTACGATGGAGACATGCAGAACCTGTGCGAGATGTGATTTTGAGGACGAAACCAAATGGTTCGACTTATTTCACACAACGCGTTGTACGAGAGAAATTGAAGAGATGCGTGTGGAGTTCAATAATTGGCATTTGCAGGTATACAAATATTATATATCGATCTAATGGAAGCACAAATTACCAGGTTTTTGAAGAACACGATATTCACCATATGCATTGACTGAAACTCTGGCAGAGGCCATAGCTCGATAGGGATCAGCATTAATTTTAGTCAATATGTCAAATCATGTTGCCGTAAAATAGTAGAAAAACACTCGCGGACACATAACATGTAATTGGAATATACATAAATGGTCGATAATTCTGATTTTTGTTTTAATTTAATATTGGGCTCCTCCTGTAGAGACTATTCGTTTTCTCTTCGGACGCATTTAATTCGCTGCTATGTGTGATGCGAAAAGTATTATATACATATATGTATATATTCTTATTTGTTTACAAACAAACAACAGATGTTACTTAACGTATTATTTTAAACGACATGAAAATTTTACATATCTCTGAACAGTATTTCCAATGTGCTAAAATAAGTGAATTATCGCACCAATAAAAAACTAAAACTTTTTCTACCGCTCACATAAATATAATGAAGACTTTTGAGAACTTATGATTTCAACCATAGATCCCCTTCTTTCTTGTTATCTTAGTGTGCATTAATATACTTAACTATACTTATTATTATCGCATTGTGGAAAAACTGAATACACACAAATATATAAAACCTTAGCATTAATTATATCATTATTTTTGTGACACTTTCCGAAGATTTCACCCAACGACGGATTGCCACAGAAAATCTGTTCCGATTGCTTTTCGAAATTTTGTAATGTGTTTACCTTTCGCATGCAATGCCAGCAAGCACAAGTGAAGCTAAATAATATATTCGATAAGATCGAAACACAAAGTATGGACGATGACCGCTTCGAGGATAATCTTGAAGAATTAAGTGCTCAGCTGTTGCGAATTGTAGAGGAAAATGAACGACAAATAACGAATTCAACTTATAACGAACAAAACTGCCAAATAGTTGATTGTACTGCCGCTGGTGTTGACACCACCGTTTCGCCCAATGCTACTCCTTCAGCTGCTGCCATAGTGATGTTGGATATGCTTGATGAAAATAGTGCTAACAATTACACCACCACCGCCACGGCAACGACTGGATCCAGTGGAGTGTGTGAGAGAGTCGAACAGTATACTGATGACATTTTAACAGTCCAAACAGAGGTTTCACCCAAAACAATCGAAGACTCTTTCTTGGCAAAAACAATTTCAATAACAAATGAAAATAATGCAACTGCTGCCACCATAACTGAAGCTAACATTTACACTGCCGGCGTTGAATGTCAAAGTGAAGCGGAAATGCAAATGACAAAGTTGACGACTGTAACTGTTAAAACAATGGCAGTCGATAAAGAAGTGGAAGAGGTAATAGTAAAAGAAGGAAATAAAAACGAAAATGAAATAGAATTAAAAATGGAACACGAAGAGGACGATATAAGCGAGCAAATACATTTACACGTAGATGATATAATTGAAGAAGATTTTACGCTCGATGATCAACTGGTGGAGGAGAAGGCAGATACAACATTAAGTGCAGACAGATCATTGGACCGTGTCCTTGCTCAAGATGGCTGCTATTTAAATGTAATGAGCGGAAATGTGTCACAACCTGAAGGTTATGCCGAAGAAAGTGTGCCTTTTGCGGAAGCTGTTGAAGATGAGAATGACCTTTATGAAGAAGATGAAGGAGTATTGGAAGCATTCGAACCCGTCACACTCCCAACGAATACCTACAATACAAATAACAATACTATTTTAGCATCACAATATGTTATTCACTCGTCTGCAACGAACAATGGCTACAGTCAAACAGTGGGCCAACCACCGGATGTTAGCATTGTTTATGAGTGTAAATACTGCCACAAAACCAAAGATACGCCAAGCACTCATTTCGAAACTCAACAGACATTACTCGAGCACATAACACACATGCACAATGCCGAGTACCCATTTACATGCCCGCAACGCGGTTGTACGGAGGGTTTTCGCGACGCCGCCTCACGCACGGTCCACATGAAAAGCGAGCATGTGGCCAAACATTATGAGTGTGATGTGTGCGGCAAAAAGTATGCCGATCGCTTTAACTTACGCCATCACTACGAGAAATTCCACAGCGAGACCGATTTTGGGTGTGACACTTGCGATAAACGTTTCTATTCGCGTAAAAGTCTTAATTACCATATGAAGTGGCACAATCCGGAATTGTTGTTGCACTGTAGTCACTGCGATCGTTTGTTTATTAATCAGCGACACTTGAAGTGTCACGAAGAAACGCACAACGGGGTGAGGAATAGTGAATTTTGTACGTTTTGTGGTAAAAGTAAGTAAACATATTTAATTAAATTATCCACAATTAATTAACAGGCATGTATAAGGAAATACTTTAGCTGTTAGAAATTAGAAAATTATTGTAAAACTGGTTAGATATATAAGTATGTACTGCATAACGGCGAAAAAAATTTAGAATTAAAAGTATGCTAGAAGCCTTTAAAGTAAGTAAAGAAATAATTTTGTGAACTTTGTTAGTCCTATATGCATATACCTTCTTTATAATTTGTAAGCTCTAATATTAGACTGAGTCTTTCCCGCTCGTTCCTTCGTGCCTCCAGAGGTGAGGCGTTTATAAGTATGGAGCCGCGTGTATAGGCATATGTATATAATGTAATGCTGTTGTTGTACATATACACTAAATGTTTTTATCACTATCACAAATAATCCCGTTATTATACTTATTACAAAAAATATTTGGGGCTTTTTGATTGTGAAAACGATGGAAAATCATAGATAACAGCGATAATAGCTATTTATTTATTAAGTCACATATTCAAAAGTTTAAATTTAAACTACATTGCTTTTTATTTTTATTATGCAAATGAATTAATTATTCTTTTAGGTATTCCCAATAATTGTATTGAATTAATTTAATTGATGCCCAGTCGGTGCATTCCTTTTGGTTGATTATTTTGGTAAAAATATATTTGTTTTTACGACGAACCGTTAAGGTTAAATTTAATAATTGTGAACGCATTTAGTTAATAATAATGTGAATTCTTAAATTTTTTATATTTCTATATTATCTTTCGCTCTATTATATTTAATAGTGGCTTCATTTCTATTCAAAAATGTGTTTATTGGGAGATCTTGCAATTTTTACGGTCCTTTTAATTGAAAATATGTTATGTTAGGAAGTTAAGATTTTTTACAATGAATATTAGTTTTTCCTATTATTGCTAAACAAAAATTTCAAGCTTCATCTTCATGTTCAATAATTTGTCTCTTTTAAAGATTGTAAAGATAAAATAATTTGGTCTAGTTTGACAATAGGGTTGTTAAGAAATAAAGATACTTTTCGGAGGATCGTATAATTACTGTTCATATATACATACATACATATGCATATGCACCACTTCTTATTAAAATAAAAATCTCTTCCTAGCGTTCATTCACTTGAAAACTTTGCGTTGGCATTTGTATCGACAACATGGCGGCGAAAAACCATACAAGTGCGGCCACTGCACTGAGGGTAAGCAAAGCTTTACCCGGCTTTCGCAACTCATTTAAGACAACATTTTGCATTCATACGTTCATTCATACATACATACTTTTCAAATTTATTTACCGTTCATCACATATGTGTGCGTGTATGTGTACGCAACCTTTTATCAACACAAAGGATACATTTTTGAATTATGTTGCAGTGAGAATAGTATAGAACTTCGTTTCAAATATAGACAACGGTAAAAGTACTCATTCTGTGTTATGTAAAAATCACATTTTATTCTACTTCTTTATATTTCTTTAATGTATTATTTAGAAATGTTTATGTACGTATGCATTTTGCATGTTGAAACTTTGCCCCGTGCACTTTGAAACATCGATTTTCGGCTTTATTTATATGTACTAGCATAACGGTAAAACAATTGTGAATTTATCGCTCATATGAAAAAAAAAACAAAAATATTAAATTTGTATCTGGATCCTGATAAAAAATTCTAAAACTCGATTAAATTGCTTGTTTCTGTCCTCTGGAGTCCCAATATTTAATAATGTTTTTGATTTAAACGTTTGACTATTTAGTTTTATTTATTATTATAATTTTTTTTTTTTCGAACATATAACATTGAAGATTATGCTAAACAATATTAAAATTTACATGATTCAAACCTCAAAACTTTCCAAACTTTTCATCTGAGATCTCTAGAAACAACTGGGATGTGTAGTTTTATAGCACTTTTGATATCGTTTTTAATTATCAGACAATTAGTGAAGTGATACAAGTTTTTGTACTCTGAAGAGGGTATATTGAGATTGTCGCGACTGTATAAAATATATGTACATATTATGTATGTATAACCCTTTCGATCCGAACCGGGACGTATGTGTCCCGGTGTATTTTCAATAAATAAGTGGTTAAAAAGGATTAAATTAGTCCCATTTTGTAGCTTATAGTAACTATTCGTGGTATTTTAAATAGTAAACACGTCTTCATTTACCAAAATAGAGCTAGAACTAGTCCTTCAGTTTTTGAAATACCGATCGGAAAATTTTCGAACTTCAGTTTTCGAAATATCGATCTGATAATTTCATTTCATTTGTCGGAGCTACTATAACATATAGCTACTATACAAAACCACTGCCACGCATACAAACGCCATTAACCGAAATGTCCCACTAAGCACTAAATTAAGATATAGAACTGTAATACGGCACAGGGGATGGCAGTAACAAGAGACACTTGTTGGCAAAATTTTTTGAAAAAGTGAACGTCCACGTCTCTTTACCATATATCAGGACAAGAATAATGAGTGACTTATAGAGTTTGGTTTGTGTTCAGTCTGGAGAAAGCAGAACATCGGCGTATCTTCTCTATTTAATTCTGAATTATTTTCTCCAAAAGTAGATTGAAGAAGTCGCACGAAAGGGAGTCGCCTTGTCTGAAACCCCGTTTGGTATCGGACGGCTCGGAGAGGTCCTTCCTGATCCCGAAGGAGCTTTTGGTATTTTAGGTGGTGTGTTTGTCAGACCTAAAATCACCTTGATAATGTCCAATTAGTTTGTTCAAGGTGGGCTGTAATCTTTCACACAATACTCTCGATAGAAGCTTATATGCGATGTTAAGGAGACTTATCCCACTGTAATTGGCGCAGATTGTGGGGTCTCCCTTTTTGTGGATTGGGCAGAGCACACTTAAATTTCATTTGTTGGGCATTTTTTCGTCCGACCATACATATTTTACTAAGAAGTTGATGCAAGCTTTTTATCAGTTCTTAGCTCGGCCGGCAATCCATCGTCCCCCCCCCCCCCCACTTTATTGCTCTTCAGACGGGTAATTGCTATTCTAACTTCTTCTTGGTCGGGGAATGGTACGTCTGTTCCATCGCCATCGGGGGAATCGCGTTCGACATATCCTGGTATTATGGTTTTACTGAATTTATCGACGGTTGGACCAAAGATACCTCCTGACGTTAAAGTTGCCACACACGATTTTGACATCGTGGCAGGGCCAGCTTTCATAGGTGCGCTCCAAGCGCTCTAGGTGATGTCAGGCTTTATTTTTAAAAAAGACATCAAAAACGTAAACTTCTACACATGACTCCATCCACGCCATATATCTACTAGTCTCGCAATTTTTTATTATCGTTACATAAACATTAAGTATAATGAAATTAATATTTCAATTTATCAATTTTACTTTCAGAAAGACCTGATATTTTTACATATTTGCTCATTATAAATTCTTTTTTCTGATACAATCTAAAAATTACAAGTGTTTCCAAGAAAATTATTATTTTTTAACTTTTTACATAACTCTATGACCAATTTGTCCTAATCCTTTCTAAATTTGTGAAACTGATCAGAGTGAAGAAACTCTGAGGCTAGAAATATAACCTAGATAACTCATCATGTAGCACGTACCTAGAATACACACTTAAACCAAAAATTTTCATCACTCCCAACACAAAAACAATCATCACCAACCATTCCCATATTGTTCATATCATAAGCAGCAATCATACAAACAATTATGTACTTAAATTTCAAGTCGGTGCAATAAAAAGTAACCTAAGTCTTATGCAATATCCACCCAGTTTTCGCCTCGTATCTGGAGAAGCGCATACATATGCTGGAGAATCATTTGGAGAACCTCACAACCATCGAACGCACCGAATGCATGCTCTGCCGTGAACGCTACGAAGATGAACGCGAGCTGAGCGAACACATACGTAGCAAACATGTTGAAAGGCCGAAGTCTTCCGTGCTGCTAATAGCGAACAATAAACGAGTGGTGCGCAGTAAGCGACAGAAGAATTATAGTGGAATCTTCCAGTGTGATATTTGCGCCCAGCGTTTCAATATGAAATCGGCATTGGAGCGACACGCGGCGGTGCATTCAAGTATTGGCAGGCCACACAAATGCCCAGTGGAGTCGTGTGCGAAGCGTTTCAAGCGTGCGCAGGATATGAATTGGCACATGAAGACGCATTCGAACGAGAAGCCGAACATTTGCGATGTATGCGGCAAAGGATTTGCCCTGAAATATGTGCTGAATCAGCACAAGCGGAGCCATGAAGGTGAGTAATGAGGGCTGTTTGGCTAATTTCAAATAGATAAGTCAAATTAGATCGGTTTTCCTCTAAATTATTTTGTGTTTAAATGACAAATTTTATTAACAAATTTATCCATCAGAATAGGAATCAGTGTACATTCGTATTATGCGAAAATGTCTTTGAGAACATCAGATCGTATACATGCATTCCGGTGGCCGACTGCAAATGAATAATTGTATTGAAAACAATAACAGACATTCAATAAATCATATTCTCCAATATACATACATATAAGAAATATGGCAATTTATGCGTTTTTTTACATGCTGCAACAACAACAAACTATATATATATAAATAATTAAATAAATAAGATTGAATGAGAATTGCACCGCGACCTAAGGTCTATTGTGCCATCTTAGCCCCAGCATTCTCATAAATTCCAATATACTGCTAGATGCTATTGATCCTTATTTGGAAACATGGATCCAAAGGCCTTTATCCTGTGCCCACAGACTGCTGTGCAGTTAATTAGCAAGTATTCTGGAGTTTTAGACTCCACATTGCAGAACCGGCAATTCCATGTTATATAAGCGCTTCTTGAGCTTACAATAGCCTTAGAATGTGACAAGTAGCCTGAGTTTGTCCCTTAGGAGATTGATTACATATTTAAACCTTTTAAGGTTGTAACCAATACCCACTTCTTCATCCTTACGGTATGACAACCACCCGCAATGAAAGGTTCGGGTCCTAATCTGTTGGTGGAGGCTGCGCAGCGTCCGAGCTTGTCAGCCAGTTCATTTCCGGCTATACCTTTGTGACCGACAACCCTGTCGCCATATACTCATCCTGCACCAGTAGCGATTTGACCGACCTATAACAAAGACCTCTACTTCGAATATGCTCAGAAAACTTCACATAGGTATGGAGAGTTTCGTGAGTGGTCCTGCGACTCCTGCGGAAGCTTTCATGGATATGCACTAACTACTTTGAGGCATTGGCAAGAGCTGAGGTTTCTCACCGTAAGTGGTCCTCTCGCTATATGACACAATAGCCTATTATGTTCTATGGCGTTTTTATGTTGAAGAAGGCTCTACCACTCTTGCAAAGAAACTCGAGACCATTTAACAGGCAGCGCTCATCATCATATGTACTGCACTAAGGTTCATTCCAACCATGGCATTTAACGCCATTTTGAACTTAGTAGGCTGTAGGCTCCTTCTCTGCGAATTTGTATTGGCCACTAAGCGTTTGCTTATCTATAAGTCCGAATACAGGAGTTCTTTTATTTTATGGCTTATCAAAGTACTACATATACGAGTCCACGTACGATCTTCGATCAGTCATCCAACCTAACCTAACCTATTCTCAAAGAAATGGAACAATCTCTGAAGAAATTGTTTGGATCGGACCACTACAGCATATAGGTGCTATATAATCGGACCGTTCCAAATCAATCTCTTGTGTGGAATCTTAAAGCTTCAGTGTGAACAAAGTTAAAGTTTCTTCATTATTATATGTACATGTTTATATTAAACTTATCACGAATGCTATCCTATATTATAATTTATTTCTATTTTTAGTTCTTGAGAAAAATTTCAAATGCGTGATCTGCGGACGTGCCTATCTCTTTGAGAAATCGCTGCGTGTGCATGAACGAGTACACACGGGTGATACCTACTACCGCTGCGATTTGTGTGGCGAAAACTTTGTTACGCACATGAAATTCAAAAGTGAGTTATTCATAAAAACGAGTATGCATCACTGTAGGAACTTAAAATATATTAATTTCAGCTCATATGATGAAAAAACATGATCCGGAGACAACAAATCTTGAGGATTACAATTTGGATGCCTTTGAGGAACAGCTATATGAACAGTAGATGGACAAGAATTATTTTATATGCACTAACTACTGTGAGCAAAAAATAGTAAGACTTTCTTCATAAGTTTAAAATTCATAATTTATTCCTGAAATTCTATGTCGTCCCCTACAAAGTAATGCATATTGGTCCCAGTACACTTATGCCAACGTTTTTTCGAATCCTTGAAACGGCTGTTAAAGTAAATTTGTCGTCTTCAATGCGCGTAGCGATTCACGTTTAAGGTCTTCCATTGACTCAAAACGATTTTGGAACCAATCGTGCTTTCATTATCTTTCAAAATGGTTTTCACTGATTCTTCCAATATTCCAACGATGCCAATAAGATCTTTGTCTGTTAAATGTCGATTCTCAAGCACTAATTCCTTTATTTCATTGATGTATAGTTCCACAGTTGATGTTGATGGTCAACTCGTTCTCGACCCTCATTGAATAATTTGTACCAATCAAAAACACTTGCTATTCTGAACTTTTCGGTACCCGAAACTTAATTCCTCACACAAAATTTAATGCAACTTCTTTGTTGAATAATTTCATTCATGATGTCTCTGACAGTCATATTAAACTAGAAAAAAAAAATTTCAACTAACAGGCTTTCGCGTGAAATTTAAATTAAAAAAGTCTTACAATTTTTTGCCCCCTGATTTTTTTTCAAAGCGTGGTTCATTTGTAATTTACAGTATTTTATTCAACTCATGAACATGTATGATTGATTATCAATATTCCTTATTTTGAAAGCTGTAAACTTAAACTTTCGAAATTAAAAATATTTAATTCCTCCGCTCTATGGGCTAACGTCAAATTGGACTACTTAAAAGTAGCACAAAACATTCCAGTAAATTATATTATTATTATTACGTGTATGTACTACGTTACGTACTGGATAATACAGGATAAATATTTAGTAATGAGATCTACGCCCATGAAAACTATATTTAAATAAGAGTAATGCAGAAGTTGCCCCACAACTAGAAACCATTCAAGGGAATTCACTAAAAAACATGTTTGAATTTGAATGACATTGACGTGTACTTCGTACACATACATATATGTATTTATGTTTACTAAAAGGGATATGCACAAACACAATAATACGCACACAATGGCTCACCGTTAACGCAACAGTAAAAAATTAAGGAGAAATACATAAATAACCAACTATGTATACTTACACATACACATAGAGACTAAGAGCAACTACTTGCATGAATGCTCAATTCTTTTGGTACCATATTGAATAATTTAGTAAAAAGCATTTATTGTATTTTATGAAATTATTTAGATAACCGTAGTTTTATAAAAGGGAAATTAATAGCAATATTTTGTAGCGGTAGTTTGTGAATTTTAACGATGGTGATAATGTAACTCTTAAATGATATTACTCGTAGTTTTTAATGGAAAAATATAATTTCGTGAGGAAAGTGCATCATCAATATATAGTACATATGTATATGTATTTATAGTTTTTTTTTAATTTATTGCAGCAAAAAAGTAAAAGAAATATATATTATATGTATTTAATGATTAGTAAAATTATATATTAGAAATTATAAAAAAAAGCTATTAGAATTTGTTATAAAATGAACTTATTTAATATATACATACATATGTATAACAGACATTTGTCTATTAATGGTTAAACAAATTTTAGTTGTGCTGTCAATGCTCAAAATTGTCCGAAACGAATTATTTATAATCTATGACGTTTTAAAAAGATATTTATATACAGACATATATCTTGAAAATCTTATGAAAAATATGTACGTATTTTAATGTAACTATAAGTAATATGAAAGTTCTCTGTAACGAAGCTTTAAAAGAAAAAATGCAAAAATGCATAATAAACATTTGTCCTATTACAAAAAAAATATATATATATTTCACTAACGTGGAGCAAAGAAAAATGTAAGCCGAAAGACACGAATATTATTTTAAATTATGAAAATCAGTATTAATTGAAATTATTTTAGCAATGCGATAATATTTACAAATGTAATAGTAAAAATATTTAATTTAATCAATATTTGAAAGTAGCTACTTTGTTTTTGTATTTTTTATTAGTTTCTTAACTTTTACAAGCTATAACTGAAAAAACTACTTTTATCATATTTTAATTTATTTCTTTAAAAACTTAGTAACACCAAAAACAGATGGGCTCAACTTTCTGTAATGTATTTACATAAGTAAGAAAACTCGATCAAAACAATAAACAGTACATTGTTGAAAATTTGAAATATATGAAATAACTGTTTAAATAGAATTTTTTATTACTTTAAGCTTCTATTAAGGTAAGTAATTTATATATATATATATATTATAGTAGTGGGTACCAGCACTCTAAATCTTTTTCCTTTGTTAACGATTTTAAATAATTTTGGCCCAGGTTCCATTGCAAATGTATGTATGTTTATAAATAAAAGGAATTTTGTTCACACGGGCAGAGTATATAAAAACATTCGTAATCATATTCATAAAACATCATTTTAAATGAAAATAGTAGTTATTGTGAAAAATTAGGAGTCATTTTTGTACTTAAACTAATTCTCATCTGGTAAAACCTTCATTACTGTAGTAAATATTTAGTAGTGCATTACAAATTTGCTTTGGTTTTGTACTTTATTTTCCACTTTATATATTTTACTTTTTAGATCAAAAAAATATAAAAAATAGATTTGTTCCAACCCATTTTTTTATTTTAATCGTTACTACTGCATTATAAAGTTTTAATAAAAATCATACCGGAAATAACTTTGTGAAATAACAGTATGTGTTGCACCTATACCAGCTGTTGTCGAGAAAGGTAAATTCGCCAGAGTTGATAACAATTCAAGTTCCAACAACCAATCAGCGAGAACCACATAAAGAATGCAACACTGTTTCATGCCGGATAATCAGCAGTATACCTACTATTTCTGTCTCGCGCACAACTTTTAATGCCAGGCAGCATCGAGCTGTTGCGCAGGAACTAAAAATATAATCGACTGACGTGTGTTTGACAAGAAGCTACTCAAAAGAAGTAGAAAGAAGTTTAGTTAAGCAGTATTTATTTTATTAAACGCAATCATTTGGTAAAGTCGTTAGCCAAATAAGAAGCATAACAACAAGAGTTAATTTCTTATATTAGGGAACAAGTTTATATAAAGTGGGCGTATGAAACTATTTAGTTATAAAATTTGTCGTCAATAGAAAACTTGAAATCAAATTTTGGGAGCATACATATCTTTATGCAGTTGTTGAAACTGCAAAGCAAAGAATATTTAGAAAGTGGCAGAATACACGTAGCACCTATATATTATAGCTGGAGATTAAATACATTTAACAACAACTACTGGTGGAAGCTAAATTAGAGTTGGGCCACAACAATGGTAGTGCCGCTGAATGATATGCTACCTTTCGCCACCGGAGAAAGAAAGCTGGCAGCTTGTGTTTTGTTGTTATTATTAGAACTATTTCTAGAAGGTAAGTGTTTTTGTTAACGCACAAACGGATTTCAACCTTAAAATCAATGTTTACTGTCCATTGGCTTAATAATTTCACAAAGGAAAGCAGTGTGTTTTTTGTTTTTATAGTTATACCATAAATTTGGTTGACATTACGCCAACTGTGCAAATAAACTATATTTGATGTGCTTACCAAAAGCGATAACATTAATTCTAACATAACCTTAACATTTACAGGTGCAGACGCTGTGCCAAATCAAGCTGACATTGAAAACCATCTGGAGCTAGGTAAAGAGTTTTTAGCGAAAGGCCAGCTGGCAGATGCGCTAACACATTATCACGCAGCTGTAGGTAGGTACAAAGTGTTATTAGATAGGAAGAATTAATTAAATTACTTGGTAATCATTACTGTTGCAGAGGGCGATCCAAACAACTATTTGACGCTATTCAAAAGGGGCACCGTTTACCTGGCGCTTGGCAAGGCCCGTTTCGCCGTACAAGATTTCACACGGGTGTTAGAATTGAAGCCTGATTTTGCAGCTGCGCGTATTCAGCGTGGTATTGTGCATTTAAAAAGTGGAGAATATAAACAAGCCAGCGAAGACTTCGAACATGTGGTGAGTACAAAAACAAGCAAAATTGTAAACTTTTACTCATACGTTATTATATTCAACAGCTCCAAGAAGATCCTTATAATGAGAGTGTCAATGAGCATTACCGACGGATTGAGGCTGCTATTGAGCAGTGGGAAATTGTGAAGGATCTTAGGTATAGGGGCGATTCGCGTAATATCATTCCAATGATTACACAATTACTCGAAATCTCTCCATGGTCCATTGAGTTCCGCCAAGCACGCGCTGACGCTTACATTGCCATAGATGAACTACCATCTGCCATATCCGATCTCCGTTCAGTGAACAAACTCTCACAAGACAGTACAGAAGGTTATTATAACATTGCATTGTTATTATACAAAATGGGTCAAGCTACAAATGCGTTGAAAGAGATACGTGAATGTTTACATCTTGATCCAGAACATAAAGACTGCTTCCCCTTCTATAAGAAGCTTAGAAAAGTAGAAAAAAGTTTGACAAAGGCCGAGAATTCTCGTGAGGAGAAGCAATATTCAGATTGTATTAATTCTGCTGAGTCTGTGCTAAAGCAGGAGAAAAACGAAAAAATGGTCATATACGAGGCTAAGCGACTTCTCTGCACGTGTTATACTAGAGACGAACAGTTTGCCAAAGCTTTAAGTTATTGTAAAGAAGCGCTCGATGTATTAAAAGACCCGCAATTATATTGTGAACGCGCTGACGCTTATATTGGCTCAGAAATGTACGACGATGCAGTCCATGATTACCAAAAAGCATTGGAAATGGACGAAAGTCTGCAACGTGCTAAGGACGGTATTGAGAAAGCGAAAAGACTGCAAAAACAAGCGGAACGACGGGATTATTACAAAATTCTCGGTGTTAAACGAACCGCTAATAAGCAAGAAATTATCAAGGCGTACCGAAAAGCGGCACAAAAATGGCATCCCGATAACTTCAAAGATGATGAGAAGAAGATCGCTGAAAAGAAGTTTATTGATATCGCGGCGGCCAAAGAAGTACTGACTGATCCTGAGAAACGGAAACAATTCGACATGGGTCAAGATCCTCTTGATCCCGAGGCAAACCAACAGCAAGGGGGCTTCCGCGGCGGCAGTCCATTTGCGCACTTCCATCACGGGTCACCGTTCCAATTCAAATTCCACTTCAA